GACGCTTACAAGACAGACGCATCTGATTGGCTGCTCGGTGGATGAGAGTGGCCAGGTGTGAGAACGCGCTTTGCGCAGCGGAGCCACCGCTTTTGCAGTCAACAATCACGTGACCTTGAAGGCAGGAGGGCAGGCCCATGGCAGCAGGGTCGGTGAAACGAAAGTAGCGTCGAAATACTATTTCGTTGAGTTCTGCTACGGACCAGAATTTTTCCACCTCCTCGGCCGTGGACGGCGTTTCCGGACAGAGGTCGCGATGGGTGCCAATGATGAAGACTGGAGCCAGAGGTGCTCGACACTAGGTTGGACATAAAAGAAATATAATTCTTTACCGTTCACAGGCAGTACCAACTGATATACAAACGATACGATGGAAACAAAGGCCACATAAACAAAGGAATTGTATCCGTGAATTTTAAAGGCTAGTCACACCAACTCTTCAGATGGCAGATTTTTTGAATTGGTAGAAACGACACATCTCCGAGATGATCCATACAAATTGAAGAAACACTATGCCAAACTAGAAGTGCGGGCAAACTTTATTTTACCACCGAGTCATTGAAGACTGGAATAAACTACCATTTTGATGAGCGCGTTGACGCATTTAAAAAAAGACTTGGTAATAATTCACTTGACGGTCACAGATAGAGAAGGAGAAGGCGTCTCGATCACCGGAATCATAATTTTACTCGTCTGAGCTTTTTGACTGTTTCTGCAGTCCATCTTCCGAGATAAAAGGTGTCAACGAAGGACAAGCAACAGTTAGAGGAGGTAGGGGCCAATTAACCGTTAGAAAGGGGGGGGGAAGGGAGGGGCTAATCAACCCCCAGTACCATCAGTCCAAAGATGCCTGTCCAGGGCGATGTGTGCGAAATTTCCCGTTTTTCTCCAGAAAAGTTGATATTTTTAAATAAAGTAGTATAAGCATACAAGTTTTAATTCATCTAAGGTAAATAATTATTATTTAAAGCTTGGGGATATGAGTTAATGCGAGTAATCATCAAATTTTCACAACTCCCGGTTCTTTACATGAATTGACTACCGTACTAGGATGTGTTTTCATTTGCTACTAACTGCATGGTAGTAACCCGAGGCAAGTGTCCTTCTTCTCGTTTAGTCTTTGTTTGCCACCATCGCTGATTCGTTCTTTATTCACTGTCTCTTGTCCGTATTCGCCTATAAACGGACAGTCACGCGGCTGCGCCATTCGCACGACTGCTTGTCTAATCACACAGAATGTATGTCTAAGGAATTCAAAATGTCAAAGACAAAAAGTAATGACATGTCACTGAAGATTTCCTTTGGGGATATAACTGGATATCTGTAGAAGGACATTACCAGCAAAGACAGGGGA